CATGCCTTCCTTGAGGGATGGACAGATCTGGACCAGGGATCTTGTGTAAAAATGACATGGAAAAAAGCCTACAATTTATGTGACCTGGAACTTTGTGCTTTACATGCTAGAAAAATTAGTATTTGGAGATAAATGGGGGAGATAGATTAAGGTGTGAATTGTATCGGCGTCCTTTTGCAATTATGGTTGACGGGGGGGGCCCATCCAGTTTCTTTTGGGTGAGAGCTATCAGACAGAGAGACCCCTTATTACTGCTACTTTTCATTGTGGTAATGTAGGCGCTGAATAAACTACTCCTCAAAGCAAAGGAGGTGGGTTCTATTCAGAGGTCTGAAAATTGAGAAGAGTGTTAGGAAGTCAATTTCCTAAAAAGTACCTAAAGATGCCGTAGGGAGCCAAATTTACAGAGGTTGCTACTTGGGATCTTGTGGTGAGTAGAGTGGTTGGTTGGGTGGAAGAGAAGGCTTCTTTTTGGAGGGAGGTTGACTCTTCTCAGAAGCACTCTAGCGAAAATCCCCATCTACCTAATCATTGAACATGATACCATCTGAGGTGGCTAACAAATCAGAAAGGACTCAATATATTTTCCTTTCGGGTGACAATTTTGGAAAGAGAGTATCATCTAATGGCTTGGGAAAGACTGAAATAACCAATTCAGTAGGTTTGGCTTGGGTTTGAGATTGCTAGTAGGTTTAATGGAGATGTTCATGGTAAGTGGGTATGGAGGTTTATGGGGGAGTAAGTCAATCTTTGGAGGAGGGTCATCAATGTAAAATATGTGGAAGATATGGGTTGGTTGTCTAAATTCCAGAAAGGCCCATGTGGAGTAGGGTTGTGGAAGAAAATCTATTCAAGGCAAGGCAATTTCCAAGGATGTGCAAAATGGAAAGTAAGTGAGATTCTAGATGGATGAGTGGGCGGAGGCATGAAGACGATTTTAGCTTAGAAGTAGCCTAACATCTTTGTTGTTGCTCGTCATAAGGATGCTACTGTTGAGAAGTTCTTGGTGGGTACTCAAGGTTGTGAAACATGGTGTACAGAACTGATTAGGAACTTGAACGATTGGGAACGTTGGATGATGTGAAGCTATTGGAGCCCATCTCGTTGATCAAGGGAATGGCTCGAAAGTGGAATACTTATTTGGAAGTTGAATTCCCCAGCATTTTCAGAGTAAGATGCTAATACGAGCACTTTTTTTTTTTTTTTGAAATAATCCCAATACGAGCACTTGAGCAATGCTAGATGTGAGCAGGAGGACTTCCCAACTATTCTTATTTAGAAGGTTAAGGAGAGTCCAAGTATGGCTTTCTTCTCTTGAGATGCATTCTAACCTTGAATAAGCTAATTAGGAGGGGGAACATTCTTGTGGATGGATGTTACTGATGCAAGAGAGATGAAGAATGCTTCAGTCATATTCTTTCTTGATGCCCGTTTTTATTTTGTCTTTGGAGTTGAGTGTATGGCTTGTTGGTTTTTAACTAGGTTGTTGCTAGCTTGGTTAAGAGGAACTCCGAGCTTGGAAGGACATCCATGGGGATAAGAGGCTTGGAATTATCCTTCTAGCTACCTTTTGGGCCCTTTGGTAGGAAAAGAACAAGAGAGGTTTTGAGAGTATAGAATCTAATTTGACAAGTGCAAAGACTATTGGTTCCGGATTCTAGGTTTTTAATTAAGAGTCAACCGCTGCTTACTAGTGATGATCTTGGAGACCTAATAGATGTTTTGATTAATTTATCAATGCTTGGTATACAGGTTGCACTTCCTTGGTTCTTGTGAGTAATTTCATATATTATTTCCAAAAGATAAAATAAAAAATCACAGTATTCACCATTTTCACATCTACCATTGAGGAAACCAAAAAAAAGCTCTAGTTTTGACTATCTTCATTGCATGATAACAGGAAGACATACCTTAAATAAATTAGCTTCCAGATCAGATTGAGAGCTGTAAATAATGTAGAAACTGATTATTAGCGCCCCTGAATGCAAGCAAACATCTTCTTAGAAAAAGGGATAAGGAGGGATGGCATACACATCCAGAAGACTGTTGTCTATGAGCAGCTTCTTGAGTTCAAGCGCAATTTTAATAGCAACATGATTGGGAATCTGAAACCATGAGGTTAATGTAATGGTAAACAGTTTTTGAAGATGTGATTATGACTCCTTATTCACACTATTTCAATACATAAAACAAAAGAATAAAAGAAAGAAAATACCACAGCCACTTCCAAAAATATTTCCACTCTTTCTCAAAATATAATATTGGCAAGGCCCTTTGCAGATCATACAAAATTAAAAGTGTCTTGAAAAAGAATCTAGAAGATAGCTAAAACAAAAAAGCACTTAAAATTTGCTAATTCACAGGTGATGATAAATGGTGCAAAATTTAGGAATCAATAATGTGCTCATGACACCAGAAGAAGGAAGGTCATCCTCTGTAACTAATCATCATCCTTTTCCAATAAAAATTTGGCAACTAAGACATCTATATGTTACAATCAAATACTGGGTGTAGCAAATGTAATAGGTGTAGTTCAAACTTGGTTAATCAACTGCCATATGTTGCCACCATTAATTTGAGTTCCATGGATGTAACATGCTGTAGTCTAATTTCAGTTGGCAACTTTAATATTAAAAACTTTAATATTCTCTTCACAACCAATTGGACCATAATGGAATAGGATTTGAACGATCAATATGAAGTAACACAACAACCAGAATTTTAGCAGGTACCCTAACCAAACATAAGCATATATCAACTTGCAAAAATATGCATCTATATTGAACAAAGTTGAGATTATCAAAGACCTTCGTGACAGTTAACATTCTGCTGAGCAAAAATCTGGACAAAACGTAGTAGTGATCAGCATTATCCCCCAACCACACCTTGACCTGTAAAACATCACACACGAACACACGCGTGGATAGCACCAAAAATGGTCCAAAACAACACGGTTAACTGAATTGAATTAAACAAAGTCCTCTATGCAACATAACTCATAAGAATAATATTTGAGGAGAAGGATTTCTTCTAAAATCCAGCTCAGTTAACTCAGTTAACATGGTAGTGGATTTTTCTACCAAAAAAATATTAATGGATTTGCTGGAGAGCCAAATAAACAGGAGGATAGAATCGAAAACTAGAGAAAGCGAGGGGAAATAGAACGAACTAAGAACCTTGACAAAATCGTATTTGGAAGAAGCGTTTCGAGGAGAGAATTGCGGAGAAGAGAAGATGCGATGGCCGTTCTTGCTGGAACTGTCTTCATCATCGCCACTGTCGAACTTGTTTACTTTAGGGTTTGTATTTGATGAAGTCGCTAATGGTTCCACTTCCTTGTCTTTCTTCATCTTCTTCTCCACTCCTGTCTCCCCAATTCTCGGTTCTGTCTCGTTCTAATCTGCTTCGCGAGCAGTTAAAATGATTTAATCACCATTTTCATGCAGAAGATTCGTTTCTAAATGACAGCGCCTAAGACCATGTCTAGAGCCCAATCATTTGGTCCGGGTTCATGGGCTCAAAAATTTATTAAAATTTATTTCTTATGATAAAACTGAAAAAATTGGTAATCAAAATTTTGACACAAAAATGAGGTGAATGCCTTAATAATCATTTTTGAATCGATTCTGATTACGGTTTTAAAAAACCCTAAGTCATTAGCAGTTTGAGGACTGAGCAAAATTGCTTAAAATTTCCATTACCAAATGATTAAGAATTTGTCCAATTTTAAAATAGTTACAAGAATATTATGTGAACAAAAAATACATATTAATTATGAAATTTAACGTCATAAAAAAATTATAAAGTCACACATATAATTGGTTTTATGCAAGAAGAAATGGCTTCAAGTTAGAAAAAAAAAAAAAAAAAAAGCATTTGTAGAGCTTGTGCAACCATCTATAAGAAAAAAGAGCTTAAATTGTAATTTTTACAATAGTAACTTTTTTCCTGCATAACCCAAGTGAGTCAATTATGACGAACTCAAAATAGAATTTTTTCCTAAAATATTCTTTTGTAGATGATTATTTCTAAATTGATCTGTATATCTATAAGCGTATCATTCACATTATGAACTGATAATATATCAATATTAATCTCTTAACTAGATGCTTTCATATGATTCTTGTAATTGAGCATTTAATGAATAGATAATTGTATGTTTTGCATGTCATAATTTAAAGATAAATATTGTTTATTATATAATTTTCCTTTTTAGGCTTACCTAGAAGGCTTTATTGATGAATCTCTACTAAATGATTTTGTGATTCTCCTAAAGTTTGATATGCCAAAGATGATTCCAAATTGTCTTCTTATACAATAACTTAATTCATAGATTTACATGCATTTAACAGATTATCATCTTTACTAGAGAGAGTGAAAACCTATAATGCAGCGTCAAGATGTCTCTATATATAACTTAAAACAAGTTAAAGGAAAGTAGTTTGTCACTTCTTTCACGTTCTCTATAACAATTGATTTTATTTATTTGACTATAAAAATATCTCATTCTTCTCTCTCAAATGTGGTAAATAATGTATTTTTATTCTAATATATATATAGACAATATAATCCTTAATGATAATAGTTCTTATATGTTATTGAGTATCAAAATTTAATTATCTAGCAAATTACGTATCAACCGTCAATAGTCAAATCAAACAAATATTTTAATAGAATAGAACTTAAAACTCACTAATGATATTACATGTTCTTTTAAGTCATTGAAATTATTGTTACATTCTACACATATTCATATACGTAGAATAGAACTTAAAACTTAATAATGATATTACATGTTCTTTTAAGTTTTTGAACTTATTGTTACATTCTACGCATATTCATATACTTGACTATTAATTACGCATACACTATTTTTATGGTCATTTATTGAACTATTTCATGCATTTTTCGTGTTAATTTCACCTCTATATTTTAAATAAACTTTTGTATTACTTAAAAATAAAATTTAGAAATTGTGCTTTTTTTTCTCTTCATCTTAGAGTCTTATGTTGATATAGATTGAGTTAGTTATCTAATCGTTAGAACATCTATCACAATTTATTATATTCATTTTGATAACCATCCAATACCACGGAGAAGTAGTAAATAGCCAATAATTTCTTAATCTTGGTGTAACACAAAAAAGTTTATTATCAAAAAAAGATTCGATTATTTATTTGCGTCATTATAAAAAGAAGGATAAATGTGATAAAATACAAGATGTAAAACAAAAGAAGAAAGGAGTCCCTCTTAGTTTGTATGAGAATAAGACTAGTACAAGAAATATCTTACTTGCTTTATATGGCCCACCCTCTTTTTAAGTATTTATGCGTATATACATTTAATATGATAAGTTATATTTTTTAGATTATTTTAATATTAAAAATTATATTATACTTTAATATGATAAGTTATCATTTTTTACTTTATTAAAAATAATTTACATATAATTAAATAAAATTTATACGATGAGTATGAATAGAGTGATGGGATAGATGATAGGACAAAAATTTCACTTGTTCAATAAGAAACAAAGAAGTTTTTATACCCGCCATCGGAATAGTTCAGGAGTATCGAAGGGTGTGGGATGATGGAGTATGAGTGGCCCATGGGAGACGGGTCAACCACCCTATCCCTTACTCTTCAACACCTTTATTTGAATTACTTGATAAGAATTTTGACTACATTTTCAGACATAAAAAAGTTATGAGTAAATAAATTGCTTATTTACTTAATGTTTTAAAAAAAGTTTCATGCTCCGATTATGGTCTCAAATGTAATTGCCCCAGGCAGCCAACAGATAACAGAAAATGAAATGATTGCTAATAATCATAATGAACAAGAACTATGTTTTCGAATAGCTATATATGTTTTTGAACAACTAAGCTTAGTCTGGATGGCTACAATTCACCATTTATGTATAAACCTATTCTGCTAACTATTAATACAAACCCGGCTGTATGACATCACTTCGTGTTAACAGAGATATTTGTATACAAATCAAAATTCCAGCCAGCACGCAACACGAGAAGAGCTGCAGAAGGGATCTCCAAATATCAACTATTTGCTGTTATCAACATACTTTGCTAACCAGCGGAATGATCAAAGATCATAGCATATTGGACATGCCATGACCATTTACAGTGCCAACAGTCACATTGCAGATGCTAATCCTATAGATATACTTTCTCCTTTTTGCATAAATGGCAAGCTCTTTGCTGTTATCAACATACTTCGCTAACCAGCGGAATGATCAAAGATCATAGCATATTGGACACGCCATGACCATTTACAGTGCCAACAGTCACATTGCAGATGCTAATCCTATAGATATACTTTCTCGACTTGTCTTTTTGAAAAACTTACCACCTCTCTTTCCAATGCCAGTCCCGGCCAGTGATGATATAAGATGGGATCTGTTATCTGGCCTCCATTTCAACTCTTTCAGAACGAAGAACAAGGTTGAAAGAGCAGGAGAGACTTCACTGTCCTTCATATTCCTACATGATTCCACTTTTAGGCTTTGAAGTTCCTGCCAGGACAGAATCACAGACTCTAAGCCTTGTGTTGTCAGCAACGAGCATCCTTCTAAAGATAATTGTCTTACCCTCCTGTGAAGAAAAAATAAAACCGGTAAATATTCAATCAAACAAAATAGTACAAGTTCTTTACTTTCTGTTAACCCAGGGAAGGATTTTGAATTTGAGAGTGAATCTGGCTATTTAGATCCAATTTCACCCACTAAGCAATCGTTAATAAACAACATATGCTTATTTAGCACTAAAACCCAAGTAAGGGTTTTGAATTTGGGAGAGAAGCTGGCTATTCAAGTATATCCAACTTCACCTACTAAGCAATAGAATTATACATAAATAACATATGGTTATCATACTAAACAAAAACCTTACCTCACACATCTCAATCTTCCTTATTAACACAGTTAAAGGTTCTCAACCACCAGAATAAGCCACAAACTCTTTTTATAAAAAAAGCATTATGTACCAGATACAACATTATGTACTTATATCAAACTCCCTTAAACTAACTACAATATGACACCTCGGCGGTGAATGTTTAAATTAGAAGGAGAAATCTAAACAAACCATTATCCCATATTAACATTTTAATTCCCCTTCAAATCATTACCATCCATGTCTAGCCCACATTATTTCTGTTTTCAGCCAACCAGCTCAATTTCAATTTCTTTTTCAGTTCTGATACTTGAACAAGCCTCATATTATCCCACCCAGTGGTACTAATAATCTAACTCCTTCCAGACTTGGATTCCTAAATCACTCAACTTGACCACACAGCAATCATGCCTTATGGGAAGATTAAACAAAAGGATACAGAACACAAAATCCATTACCTGCAAACGCTTGCCAGACTGAATATGTTATCATCCAATCCCCAACAATCTTGAAAAACAACCTCCCGCACAGCTTCACAAACCCTGAACAATGCCCTTAAGCTTCTCTTTTCCCGAAGCTGACACTTGTGCAAATGCAAGCGTTCAAGAGAAGGACAAGAACCCAAATACTCATCTGGTCCTGGAGTAGGATCAATCTTTTTACAGGAAAGAAACTTCAAAGTCTTCAAATTCTCACAAAACGAAATGGCAGCCAACCACCCAGCCTCCATCCTGTGATCACAAAAAGTCAGTTCCTCAAGCATTTGACAACACTGTCCAATTGCTTTTATCCCATCAAAGCTTCCCTCACAACCCCAAAACTCAAGCTTCACCAACCTTTTACAACCCTGGGCCAAAATAGTAAGCCCAATATCAGAAATCAAAGAAGTATAGAATCCCTCTAGATTTCCAATGAGTCTCAAGATTTGCAGGTTCTCATACGCCGCAATCCCACGCAAGACTTTATCGTTACACTTGTGCAACTCAAGTTCTTGTAGTTTTGAACACTCTTCCGCCACATCCAACAACCCCAATTCACTGGCATTAATCACCACAAGTTTGCGCAGATTATGGCAGCCATTGGCAAGTACTTTTAGCCCCCTATCAACCATTTCAACAGAGAGCAGAATACCCTCGCAGACACGCCAATTTGGTAAGAACCTAGAACCAACATGCACAGAAACTACTCTATGATTAACCAAAATACCTGAATTTCTCGACAAAGCCACACATCCATTGACCAAATCAACGTGGGTGAGATTCGGGAATCTCAAAATCAACCGTCCAGATTCGAGAAAATTCCAGTCTAACACCTTGAGAGAGCGAACAAGCCGGCCCTGAAGATTCAACCACCGCTTGCAAACAAGTGAGTTCGGGTTCCGCTGGGAATCTGGCAACTTCAATAGTATTTTTAGGAGAAGCTCATCAGACAAGAGAAGAGTACGGTCGATTTTGGAGAAGTCGGAGTTTAGGTTTTTGCAGTGGAGATCATTGGAAGGAGTTGAAAGAGGTTGGAGGTGCATAGAAAAAACAACATGCTTAAGAGGCTTGGATTTGGTTACCCAGAGGTCTGACCACCTAGATGACCTCTTTTTCTTCAATGGAGAGTCAGGGCTTGTTGTTTTCTTCTCTTCAAAAACCGGCATTTCTACCTCAGCTTTACTTCTAAAAAATTTTGAACCCTAAAACGAATTCCTCGCTAGTTCCCCTTCTCTGAAACATGTAATCTTGCTTCTCCCCATTCAACACCTGGCACCGCTTGGAACTTTCCCGGAACTTGTCTGCATCACAAGATTCAGTCTTTTGCTTCTAGATTTACAGAAGGAATAATGAAAATGGTTGCTGAGAAGAATTGAAATGATGAGAGAATCAGACAAAAGGGTTTTTGAGTTTGGAGACGTGAAGGATTTGTTAGGGACGAAGGAAGTTTTTGTCATCATTTGATGTTTCGGGTGTGGCGCTTTTTGTTTCCACAGGAGAGGATTTGAAATCTTGACATCATATGAGCCATGGTTATTTACAGAAATACCCTCTATATTAAGATATAATTACAATTTAACTTCTTATTATAAAAAAAAAAAAAAAATTTGCAGAAATTGGTTCGGTGCTTATTAGACTTTTTCATTTAACAGTTTACCCAAAAAATTAAATTAATTTGATGGTATTTTTCTTAAATAAGATAAAAATATGTATAGAATATAATTAGATATTAACTTTTAAAAATTTATTATATTACTTGATTCATTAAATTATAATTATTAAATATTATTGTAAATTTAATTCATAGTCGTAGATTATGTATAAAGATATAGTATTGGGTATAATAACTTATTTTACATTCAAAATCATTTTACTTTTAATTATTAATATGAATTTTATTTAATTTATCAAATTTTTTAAAAATATTATCATATGATTAGTTATTTTAAATTTTTTTATTATTTAAAATTAAATATAAAAAAAATTCAATAAGTACGAAATTTTTGTAATAATTTTCTGAAATTAAGAAAGTATAAAATGAAATTAGTCTATAATGTGTATAGTTTTGTTAATTAACATTATTTATAAATTTGTATAATTTTATTATGTAATAGTAAATAAGATTGTAATATATAAATGTATTTATACATTTTTAAACGAATCTAACAAAAAACAGTACTATTGTTATTTTAAAATTTTTTGCACTTTTATTTTAACTTATAATACCATAAACTAAAGTCAAACATTGTATTGGAGTTATAATAATTATTATTGACTTTGAACTAAACATTATAATATAATTATTTAATTTATCAAAATATTCATACAAATTTAAATATATTTTTGTATTATCTTTTAATTTATATATAATATAAAATTTCAAATTTTGTTCGAACATATCTTTATTATTAAAGACATGTTTAATATTATTAAAAAGATATATATATAGTACACAATATATCCATATGATAACTATATTTTAAAAGTGTTACTTATATAGGATGCGGTAGATATACTGACAGCAAATTTTATTTTATTTATTTTTTCTATCTCCAACCAATTATAGATTAACTATACATTTATAAAAATTCAAGAATAAGACATATATTCATAAGAAAAGCTTTAACGTCAATTGTCAACCTCTAGTTAAAGAATATCACTTATCTGAGTATTATATAAAAATATATTATAAAAAAATAACTAAAAATAATAAAATTAAGTATGTCGTAGTTAAATATATATTGATATAATGATATTAAATATACTGTTAGTGATAAATATCACTTAGTTAAACTTATATCTTTAAAAAAGTATGTAATAAATATTTAGCTATACGATAATTATTTAATTTTAATTTAAAAATAAAAATATTTTCAGATAAACTATTGCACCTTAAAATTAGCTTTTTTCTTTAGAAAATAATTTTAAGAATGTAATTATCTTTATTGACATGAAGAGGGGCATTTCTGGAATGGAAATTAAAGAAATTGCGGTCCCATCAAAAGTGCCGTTGCGGGTAGCCGTTTAACAATTCAAAAACTAGTACTCTCTGGTGTCTGGTCTATTGCCAGCCGGAAAGAAAACGTTGTAATTAATTAATTAATTACTTATTTGTTTTCTTTTCCCGAAAAACAAAAAAAAAAAAAAGAAGGAAAAAACAAACTCAACAGAAGCAATTTTAAAGAGGTTTAAACAGAGACGACGTATTCCTACTTCATTTTCCAGACGACGCAATATTCGTACTTTTTAGGATGTTGGAAAGGTGGCAATAAATTATGCCAAAATATTAATTTGTTACCTTCCTCCTATCTTAAAATATTTAAATGAATCTTTTTGCTATTGTTTATCAATTAATCTCTGTATTTATTAAAAAAAATTAGTTTCTAACAGTTAAACGGTATTAATAAAAATATAATGTGACCTCAAATCGAACATACATTATATTTTAGTTAGATTATCATCCCACATCAGGTAAGATATATATAGGATTCTTAAGTTTCATTGTTAGATTATAAAATCGTTGCTATAGAAATAAGATTTTCAATTCATAATTTCTCAATATATATGTGGCATTATTAACTTATTAATGTATAAAATTTTATTATATAAGGTACGAGAAACTAAAAAAATACTCTTTACATTTTAAGTTTTTTAGTTTGAAGCCGAACCGATAAATTAAGAAGGGTCAGTTCAAATTCAGTTTTTTCACAACATTAATTGATCAGTTGGGTCAATCAAAACAGTTTGATTAGTTGAGTCCAGTTTCAAATTTTTTTACCAAATTGATTAAAACCCAATTGATACTCTTCACTATATATAATCTCAATAGTAAAAAATTTATAATATTAATGATACATACAAATTATAATACAGATTGAATATAACAATATATTCATCCCCTTAATGCTTCCTAACACGCTTAATGACCAAACAAGTATCTATGTCCATGAAGGCAAGAATAAGTTCAGAACAAAAATGAAAGAAATGTGATCAGTCCATACAGACCAAGTAAAAAAGTATCCTTCAACGACATTCAGGAGCGAGGAGCGGCCATCTGTTGCTTTTTTATTCTTTCTGCTTGCTTCACAATGCTGCACCCATAGATCACTTGGTATGAGGTAAACAACCTATTTTTTTTTTGCTTATACATGTATGTACGAGAATATGCATAGTTGAATACAATAAATATATGAAATGGAGACCAAATATCTAGAGGCACATGCAAAGATTTTCAAACATCCATCACCACCCTAGTTGGTAGTCACCCAAAGACTGTTTGGTATTCCTCTATTCAAAAGTTCAATCAAAGTGGTTAAGACCACGTAACATTTAGTTTGTCTTTATTTAATCATTTTCATGTTTAAATATATTCAACTTATATAATAAATTTCTTGGGGATAAATTACTAATTCTACCATGTAAGACTTGAGATTTTATTTCTGAGAAAAATTGACATAATTCTATTCATTGTGAATTTATCTTTCTCTTTAGATGAGATATTAATTCTAATAATGATCTCACTAA